ATCTTGGGCACACTCGCACCCCCTCCTGGTGTGAATTTAAGCCACTGGGTCCGGGATTTGAACCATGGTCAACTACATGGGAGTCCAGCCACATAGCCATTACTCCAACTGCTGGTCCCATTGCATATAACTTTTTATTAACTCCAAATTTAATTACTAATAGTCTACTATTGACCAGAAGCTTTACTGATAACATAAACAGTTGATCAGCATGTATTTTGTATTATACATATTATATACTGTATTCTTATAATTCAGCTAGATAAAATAAAATGTTATTAAGAAAATCATAAGGAAAATATATTTATAGTAATATACTTTCCAATTTATTTATTCATTTATTTTTAATTTTTAATTTGCTAGAGGGCACATGCAATCACCAGAGAGACAGAGAGACAGAGAGATAGAGGGCAATTAAGAAGACAACCCCTCCCCATGGAGGATGACCATGTCACAATCCCTTCTCTTGCACTCTACTTTAGAGATTTTGGGTATGCACACACATGTCTGTTGTGTTTCTCAAGCTGCCAGGTTCAGTACTTGAACTGTGCAGTCTGTCATGTGGGATACAACCACTTTAACCACCAAGCCATGGGCTGATTCCCAAAATAGTTATAGGAAAAAAAATGCATATATGTGAACCTGTGCAGTTCAAACCCATGTTGTTTAAGGGTCATGCATACTTTTAAGATCAAATTATCATCTTGTGCTATCTATAATTTTGTATCCTTTTTTCACTTTCCATTATGTCATGTTCCTTATAGAATGTCATTAACGATTTCTCTAAAACATGATTTCTAACAGCTGTACAGGTGATAGAGGACTATAGTTGACACTGTAGGCTCTGATGGCAGACAGATCTAAAGAGTCAAATTCACACTATTCAACCTACTAGCAGTGTAACTTCTCTGAACTTCAGTGTCCTCATCTGCAAAATAGAGATAACAATGATACCATTCTCACACAATTATTCTGATTAATACTAATAATGTGCTTAAATAACTTAGCACAGTGTTTAGCAAGAGTACATAGCTCAACCAGTGCTACGTATAATCATTGTTGTATAGTATTCCTTTGAATAGATATACCATAATTTTGAAACAATTAAACATATGTTAATAATTCTCTTGTTTTATAAGTCAAACTGCAATGAATAACCTTGTGAATATTTGTGATACTCTCCTTGGGGAAATTTCCTGGAAGGGGAAATTTCTGGATCAATCAAAGGGTATGCAACTAATTTCAGGCTTATGACACATATTTCTAAATTGCCCTAGGAAAAAAGTTTTATCATTTTATACCAGCCATGTATGACAGTGCCAGTTTCCCAGCAAACTTGCCAACAGTGAATTCTCTTATTTATTTGCCAATTTTGTGAGTGAAAGTGGCATCTTGAGGATTACTTTGCATTTCCTTAATTATTAGAGATATTTAACTTTCTATCTACTTATTTGGGGAACATCTGTATTTCTTCTTTCATGATTTTTTTTTGTTTTCCTTCTTTTGAGATTCCCTTCTCTACAGGTTAACTCCCTTCCTTCTTTTTGCCATAGGGCATATACTCACCAGAGACAGAAAAAGAGAGGGAAAGTGAGAAGTCACCCCTCTGTGGGACAGCCATGCTGCAATTCCTTCTCCTTCATTATCTTCTTGGGATTTGGGGCAGATATACGTACAAGCTCCTAATGTGTTTTTCAAGCTGCTGGGCTGGGACTCCAACCATACAGTTGGCTATATAGGATCCAGCCACTTTAATATCCATGCCATCTACTGGCTTAAATTTCCTTCCTTCTTACTCCTCTACTGACCTGATACCAGGTTGATGCTTCACTAAACGAAAATGAGATTAAACTCAGAAGACAGAGAAACCAGACCTTCTAATCCCAATGCAAACAGAAAAGGAATAAGCTCCTTCTGGTCCTAGCATGACTATCCTTTGCTATTTTCAGAATTTGACCCTGATTGTGACCTCAAGTCATTTCACCTCTCTAG